CAAGTCAAACTCTGTCAATGATCCTCCAGTTCCGATAGCTAAGGAAAAAGTGCGAAAGGGAGGAATGGGGGATGACTAAAGTGGAACCTTAGAGACAAAACGGTGGGCCTTAGGAATGTGGATTGAAACAGCTAGTCCTACTGGAGGCAATTAATTATTCATTCATTTGTTCTATCAATTATTACTAACTTAAACGCAACACATCTCAACGCAAGTCCGCCAGTCAACTGGCTAGTCATGCAAAAGGCAGACAAAGAGGGAGAGGAGAGGGCGGGAGGAAGGGGGGTGGAGAGGAGGAGGATCAATAGTGGCACTAATATAAGTCCATGTGGTTCTTCAGCCTTACTTCCAACTGCTAATGCTTAACAAACAACGCTCATTCATTCATTTAATAATACCTACTACTTCCTTTTCAGTTATTAATGTTCTCCACGGCCGTTGTTCCATCGCGCAACTTTACCATTACTAAGAGTTGTTATTTGCGGGCAAATCTCGGAATGAGGAGATTAATAGACATTTAATTCTTCCTTCGTTGCCATAAGTGGATACCCTTTAAGGCAGCTCATTTAACTTTGAATGGCTCATGGTTGAACTAGTCTTCTATAAAACATTTTTGCACCAGGCCTCCTCTTTCTGGGTTTCTTCAGAGTGCTCTGCCAGAGCTCCGTCAGATGCATGCGCACCCCTGCAAGTGAGTTTCAATGCCTTGTGAAGACAGGCTCGAATCCCGTCCAAATCCTCTGAGTTTATTAATTCAATGGTATAGAGAAAAGGGAACTCAAGGAAGAGGAGAGCATACTAAAGAAGTAGAGAGGCCCAATTACAGTTGGCTTTCAAGCTTTTGCAAATTACAGTCACAATTGAATTGATGAGCCCTTGCAAATGAATCATAGCAAAACCACTCGAAATTTTTGACCATTTGATAATGTAACAGTTGAATGAGGGGTATGATCAACTGCGAAAAGTCCTACCTAAAGCCTTAATCACGTTGATGAAAAAGGTGAAGAGGAGAAGTTGCTCAATGTTCGTGCCTTACTGATGTTTTAATGGAAATAAGATTTGTCACGTGCAAAATAATGAAAGTTGGTGGCTACGTTGACTTCACATTAGCGCATGAACAAGGCAGACATGGGGAAATGGGGAAAATATGGTTTAAAATTGATATCCAAAAAGAGACCTACCTCGCCTGGTCGAGGAGTTGAAGAGTTGCGGCTGACTGATGAGGAGGTTCAGGAAGCGGGGGCAAAGGGGATGTCGTCAAAGGCTTAATGTTACCTTTAGAACTGCATTCACCCAGAGGATTGTATCTGAAACGTTGCGACAATTCGAACTCACACTTTTAAGCCCATTGCTGGGCAACAGGGGTTATGCAAACAACTAACATTTTAAGGCGCCGTGGCATGGACTCGACTACGATTACCCTTACTTTTCTAAGGTTTCCCAAAGAAATTGCAAATAGAATCGCGTGGCCTAGAGCACTTTTAAGCCAAATCGCACGTTACACGCTAGAAGTTAATTCAATTCATTACACAAAATCTAATGCAAGTGAAGAACCTGAACACTTCCATTACTTGAGCGTCTAATCCCACGAAAACGGTTCTCATTGCTAACAATGCGGTTTGGAGGGGACAAACTTCAACAATAAATTCAAGCACTCATTGACATGATGCTATGATTTAAAAATTACAACTAGGTTTGTACGTTAAGAAGGGAAAAGAAATGCTGC